AAAAACAAGATCATCCCCTTTCCTTAACCTCTTTCTTTTCAAAAATGCTATCTGGGGTGCTCTTTTAATTGGGAGGGGAGATTTTTTCTTTTATTTGATTATTTTGTTTTCCATGCTGTTCATGTTTCTTTCTAGTGTTCAATGTTTCAAATACTAAAAGATTTTAAGTAATAAAACTGTACTGGGGGTGGGGAGCTGGCCTGGGCTGCCTTGTTACAATGTTAATATCGTATACTGAAACATCAATAAAGTGTTTTCAGTTTATAGATTCAGAAAGTAAGTTTGTAAATAAAACCTGGTGTTGAAGAAGGAGAACAGGAAATAGAGTGATAGCAGGAAGTAGTTTTCTGGCCAGAAGTGACATTTCCGGCCTCTCTTGCAGCCCAGAGTGACTGTGTGGCAATTTTCTCAGTGATGCAATATAACTGGAAGGCATGTGCCCTACGTCCACGGTGACCTTTAAACACATCCTGCCAAGGTCACTCTCTCCCTTCCTCCAATTCAGAGCACAGGGGGCACCCATGATTCAGCACTGCTCCTACAGCTAGGATGTCTGTGGGTGTGCTGGGAGAAGGACTGGGGTCCCTGCATGGCTATACGGTATAGAGCTAGCTACCAACTTGGGCCACCTGCTTCTGAGTTGTCTATCTCAGGGATATACACTCCAACAGGACTTTGGGAAGGTTTATCGTTGGGACCACAACCTTGCTCTTTCTTTAGCTGATAGGTTCAGAGGTTTGGGCCTGGACCAGACACCATGTTGAGAAGCCTGTCATGCATCATCCCATTCGCCCACGCCCTCCTGACTTGAGAACTTATTACAGGCATGGAGAAACATCCTTAAGGGAGGTAATATGTAACCTGACCATGGTCAAACAGCCTTGAGCAGCACAGCTCATATCGCAGACTCCAGTCCTTGACTTCTAGAGAGATATGAGAGCCAAGAAGCCACAGGCAAGAGAGAGGTTCAACTGGATTCCAGAGGTCTGATCAAGGTAGAGTGTGTTACACACTAAATGAGGACGGAACATTCTTTTCTGAAAGTCAGGACTTAAATCCAGTCTCTCTGACAAACTGGTTGGCCTCTCACTCTCTCAAAGCACAGTGGTCTCCCTCCCCTTCCCTACCTCTTTTCTGACTAGACCCACCTGAGAGTCTCCACCTGTCCGCATCCTACCAGAGCCTCTGGGCAGTGGGGCTCCAGTGGGCAGCCATCAAAATCCAGGTGAATGGGGACATCCCTGTGCTCTAAAATGTTGGCCACTGCAGCCAGGTCCGCCCGGGTCAGTGGGAAATTGTGGAAGGAGAGTTGGAAAGGAAGGCTTTGGGCAATGAACCTTGCCAGCTCCAGCTCCTGGGTCTCAGCTGCACAGTGAGACAATTCTATTATCTTTGGCCCTGTAAGTTTTCGGCTAGCCAACTTCCTCAGCACCTGGACAATAACAGCCTGCCTGGAGCCCACCCAGGCTTCGTCCTGCTCAGTCAGGTGGCAGAGGAAAGCACGGCAGGTGTGAGATGCCAGGCCTGACAGGAAGGTAGGGATTTGGCCCGAGAGGCCCAGTTTAGTTTTGGTCCTCTGCACCCAGCGGGAGTTGAGAGTGACGTAGTCGGTGAGTGTGTCTTTGTCCACTGTGTCACTGGCCATCAGATACAGAGCAGCAAAGAACTCCTGAAGGCTGAAGTGTGCAAAAGCATAGCCTATTTTTTGGTGCTCAGGATGGTTACGGATACAGAAGGAAGTCAGGAGGCTGTGGACGACTCCAAAGGCCATCACAGGAGGAGAGATGTCTTCCACAGAGAAGATGACTTTCCCAGTGTCCAGTCCCCCAAGGGCAACCTTTCCAAGGCCCAACAAGGATTTGGCAAGCAGAGTCTCATTGGGACTAAACGTTTCTGCCATCTTCAGGTACAACTGGGTTACAGTGGGTGGGAGGGCTGTAGACTGGCCTGAAGAGCTTCCGGAGAGCAGGCGGCGGAGGCAGAGACAGGCCACCTTGCACAGTGCTGGCGCTGCACAAATACCCCGGAGACGCTCATTGGCTCTCATTTCTGCCAAGGCCAATTCCTGCATCAGCAGATCACTGAAGAAGTGGCTAACATACTTCTCCACCCGCAGCCCATCAAAGCCCCACATGTACACCATGGCTGCCTCTGTGGGCACAAAGGAAGGCAGTTTCCCAGGACGAGAGGTAGTCATCACCCAGCAGCCTTGCAGGAGGGTCCCACGGCAGAGGCCAGAGAAGAGGGTCAGGGCCGAGCCTGCATTGTCAACACCCACGGAACCAGCGTGAACGACCTCATCCAACCCATCAAAGATCAGTAGAACTCGGTGGGCATTCTCCTCCAGGTACTGAAAGACAGCATCAGGGTCTGACTCTGGGCTCAGGTACAGATCAAAGAGGAGCTGGGGCAGTGTCAGCAAATGTGTGATCAGGTTGAGCTGGCGGAACTCAAACAGGAACACAGCCTGGAAGCGGTCCAGCTGGCCGTGAGCCCACCTCCAGCAGAGCTGACGAACCAGGGTGGTCTTCCCCATTCCAGCCTTCCCCAGTAGAACTGTCACCTGAGGTGCCTTGTGGGTCCTGAAGTTGAAAAGATCCTGGATAATCACATCGACGCCCGCTGCCTCCTCAGGGTCTCCTACAGTGACTCCCTCCCAAGTGTCCAAGGGTGCTGTGTCCCGGCCCCACTGCAGAATTGGGGGGATGTAGGCCTGTGGGGAGGCAAGGGTGTGCCCTGCTCCCCAGCATTCACCACCATGGTACTGTTGGGCAGAGGTCTTCAGGAGCTCCAGATACTTCTTGGCCAACTCTGCAAGGGGCACAGCAATAGCATGAAGGTGGGAGCTCTCATTCTTGATACATGTTCTGGGACTCCATGATCAGGCTGCTGCTACCTTTGGCCCCCAGCTATGTGTGTGTGGGAGCAATTGTCAAGTGCACAATGGAGGTTCTTAGGCCACATATATTCCTAGAGGAAGTGGTTTTTTGCATAGCAGCATAGGCCTTGTAGCCACCTATCCAGGGAGGTGGGGATGGGCCCTTAGGTCATACCACTCTCTTCCAGGTGACAGTTTTCAGTGACCTGGGGGAGGTGCTTGCTTTGCAGTACCTATGGGTACAAGCCCTAAGATGGCAAAGGCAAGCTCTGCATCCTTCCCTTCCCAAAAAACTGCAGGCTTTGGACCAGCCCATCAGACCATGGGAACTGGGCTATGCCAAGTGTTAACCTCTTCCTTCCTAAGTCATTGGGAAGACTCAGCCCCGATCCCTACCCCAGAAAAGACTGAGGTCGTGGCCTATTTTGTACAGATGTGAACTTTCTGTTTATGCCCATGGTTGGTGGAGGCTGTGTGCATGTGAGGGCTGGGTCAAGGACTACTCTGGACTACTGAAGGAAGTTTCCCCTCTCCTCCCCCCCACAGCCTAGCCTCAGTGCCCTGTGTGTCTCTGTGAGTCTCCTACCTGGAGATCTTCCAAGACACCTGTATCACCTCCATCCCAGGCCTGAGGTTACCTTGGTTGCCACAACTTGAGGACAAGTTACTGTGCTCCAGAACCTTTTCAGCCATGGGCAAGACCCAGAATCTACCGGTGACCAACCTTAGGGCAACCTAACCCTTTGCTAGGGCTCCTACTCCCACAACCCACCTAGCTGCTGTTTCCTGGAATGTTTCCGGCGGGGTGAGGACCCATAGCTTTGAGTAGGACGCTTGACACCTGGAGAGAGAAAAGTAAGGGCATGGGAAGAAAATGGGGACCCAGACAATACCTTTGGGGTGCTCTAGTCCACCGGTAGGCCCTGGCAAAGAAGGATGAGACACCCTAGGGATGTGAGTGAGCTCTAGGCTCTAAGCAGCAGGGTGCTCTAAGCAGCAGGACATTCTGAGCGCGTGCTCACCATGGAAGGGTCAGGCTCTGTGACAGCTACTTGGTTGAGCTTGCAAGTGGTCCTTGCCAATCAAAATCAGGACATGATACCTGCCTTCCTACAATTCCATGAGGCAAGGACGGGGCGTGAGAAGACACTCCCAGGGGATGGAGAGGGCTGAGGCCAGCCATACTCAGTCTCTTCTGAGCCCCCAAATTAGATCCCTGGTAAAAAGCAGTGGGGGCAGACCTTGAAAGTCACAGAGAGGGAGGGAGTGGGGCTCAGTCCATGTTCAGAGGAAGAAATGGTTGTCAATAGCCCCCACTAGCTTAAGGTGATGACTGAGCAGCTCAGCTGGTACCCCAAGCCCTAGCCCCACATCTTACCATGGTGCAACCGAGGTCCAGGACAGCTCTCCTCACCAGCTCCTGGACGTCTAGAGAATTCTGAAAGGCAGAGAGCAGAACATACGCATTGGAGGATGTGGGACGCAGTGTCATGAGGATATTGGGTGCAGGGGTAGCTCTGAGCGGTGTCTGCTCTGGGAGCAGCCATAGGTTACATGGTGTAAAACTGACACCCAGTCATCTCGGGGAAGCATGTGATGCACTCTGTAGGCAGCAAAGGGCAGAATTACACACACACACACACACACACACACACACACACACACACACACAC